GGGGGGGGGGGGGGGGGTAAAACCGATCGCTCGATCGAGGATGCCTTACGATGGCGGCGCGCCTCTCGGCTCCCACAAGCTGTCACAGCCGCGCTCTTCTCTCCGCCGTTCACCACAGAGATGCGCCGTCGCCCAATTCACAACCAGCGACGCGGGTGGTCGAATCCGCAGCGCTCACGCACGATCGTGCGACGTGGGGGGTGGTGCTTGCTGATCACACTCAGCAGAAAAGTAAGTATATTTCGGAGGGGCGGCGCTTATGCACTGTTATACGATGCAGAAAAATGTATACGGAGATGTGCAGAGGAGCCGACGCGACACTCCTAGTTGATCTGCATCGACTTTCCGTCTGCATGGCCGTCATTCGGATGCGGTGCATGAAACTTCCGTGAGGACGCACGCAGCTCACAGCACCGCCACCTCCGTCGCGCTCCCCGCGCATGAGATTCCTCGCGACGTGCAACCCGCGTTGGTGCACGACAACGAGGCGTGCCGCACCCAGCCGTGCACTGTCGAGCCTCGCCACCACTGACCGACAGCCATCGCTATATCTTAGGCCGGATCCAGTCAGATCTCCGATCTCCATCTTCAATCTCCAATCTCCAACGTCGTCATCTTAGGCCGGATTCAGTCAGATCTCCGATCTCCATCTCCAATCTCCAATCTCCACTGTCGATTCGGGGGCCCGGGGGAGGAGGGGGGCTCAAACCTTCAAGGAGATGCGCTATGGACTCATTCACAATGCAAAAGGATCTCCACCCTCTTTTCGCGCCATTTTGCAATCTCCAGTCGGCCCACACGATCTCTAGGCGCCTTTGGCGCGAAGTCAGAATCTCCACCTCTGTCGCAAGATCTCAAGCGACTGCACGCACCAAACGCGAGATCTCAGACTCCTCTCTCGAGCATCTACACCGGAGAAGATTTGCCTCCACCAGTTCTTCAATCTACTGCAGCTCTTGGCAGGAGATTTGCCACTTAAGAGATCTCTAAAAGGCATCTACGATCTACAGTCCAAGGATCTTCCGATGTTGCGCAGAGATTTCCATGTATGCCCCTCGGTGGTTTGAGACACAGACAGAGACAGAGACAGAGACAGAGACAGAGAGACAGAGACAGAGACAGAGACAGACTGACGCACCAAGCGCAACGTCACACCACTTAAACCACACCCCACTCAGAGGAGAGAGAGAGCAAGTGCTAGTCTACGTATGGTTGATGCGCGCGCGCGTGTGCGCTAGTGGTTGATGCGCGCGCGCGCGCGCGCGTCAAACCCCGCCCCGGCGAGGGGGGCATCTCTGTCGAGCGCCGCTGAGCCATGTTCTAGGTTCGGACAAGCAAGCCGGAAGCTTCCCTCCTTCAGAGTCCAATCAGCCCCTAAGGTCCGGTGGTCGGCACGCAGCCCGCGGGGCAGGACACCTACAAGAGAACGCTCCTCGCTCAGGGCCCTGCCTCGCGTCATCTCGGCTCTCGCCCCCGGGGGGGGGGGCGCGGACCGGTTGCGACGCAAAGAGGATCGAGCGGCGGCCACCCACGACCGGGAGAGGGTCGGGCTCGCAACCCTCGGGGCAGTCCGTGACCGGGATGAATGAACTTGTGCACATCTCGCCGCAAAAGCCGGCTGTGTGTAAGCCTTGCTCGCCGTCCCAGGAGCAGCACGACTGGCCCTTGTCGCTACAATCTTCGTCACTGGTGCACGGCACCTCTTCGGTTGTGATGA